AAATCATCTTTTGTAGATGAATTGGCTATTATCTTGGAATCGCTCTGTAGGCGGATGCCGCGACTTGAGACAGAACATCTTAATCTGGTGAGTTAAGTGGAAGATTAGACTTAATAAAATTTAAAATTATTTGCAGTTATAATATTTTAATATTATTATCTTTGACATTTTATTTCAACAGGATGACAAACTTGACATAAGCAACTCCAGCACTAAGGCTCAAGAAAAATTACAGAATATTCTTTTAACGATAAAGATTTACGAAGCTCTCATATCCTTTAGAATCGGCGCCTGGTCCGTAAACTGTACAGATACCGCGCAAAATGTTAAAAATTTATTCAAAGGATACATGAGATTTGTTGAATTTACTAAGGTAATTAAATTATATGTTGCATGTATTTGTAATTGATATAAACCTTATCTTCAATTTTATAGCACATACCAAAGGCTAAGAAGGGAGAAGGGAAAAATAAAAAGACACAGAACGATCCAAATAATACGACTATAAAGAAAGCTGGCCGGTCGGGCAGTATAAAATTACAGCCCAGCATCATGGACTTGTCTACAGTGCACAAAAGTTTGTCGCTCTTCTACTTGAAATCCGTTCCCTGGGCAACTGCGGATCAAGCAGCCATACTGAGAGATTACAACGATTTTTATCATTATGTCCTGCGAACACTGTTGCAAATTTTGCATAGTGTTAAGTCGTTAACGGAATACAATTTACGGAAGCATAAGGAACAATATATGAAGACCTATTTCGAAATTGGAAAGTAAGAAACATTGTGAAAGTGATTTGTGTTCGTGCAGACTCTAAAGTCTTCCTTTTTTCCTTGCAGAATGTTGTATGATTACATTATACTAGATTTAAACAAAGTTCTCGAAACGGACGAACCGGGCACTATATTAGCATTGGAATGTTTCAAAGAGTTATGTTGCTTAATCTGCACCATCTTCTCTTCCGAATTGCCGCATTTCCTCGACATTGTTGTTCGTAAGTGTTTAAAATGTTAAAATAAGGGAATGCATACTCCTATCATATGTAATATTCTTCTTACAGCTAATAAGTCAACCCAAGCGGAAAATCTTAACGCACAATTGGAGAACATGACTGCTGCTTTACGTGCGAGCTTCAGGACATTCTTTAGCGAGAAAGAGGAACATGAGGAGAATTCCAAACAGATACTTAGCATATTATTGGATATTATATATCAACTGACGCGGGAGATCAATTTTTATGAAACAAATGGCACTGAAGTCAGTATCTTTTTTATAATTATTTTCATCAAATAAAAATAGAGAACATACAAATTACCATCAAAGAACCGGTTATCTGTTAAGGTATTTGATTCGATGATGAAATTCACACAACTGGAAAATATGAATCCTCAAGCTTCTTTGACTATTTTCCAAATTCTGTTATGGATAGAAGAGCGCAACAAGGAACATGGGGAGTTATTAATCGATATCGCTTATGCGTTGTGCGACAAAATGGGTAGCATCGACAAGGTATATAATGAGTATATAATAATAACGTATATGTATAATGTATATGAGTTCTATTGTACTTAATATTTATCTTATTGTTACCGTACGTAAGAATGCAAAGAGAAAGAATTTCTCGTTAAGTAGTATATTATTTATTTGCAGGCTGACGTATCGGAAAATAATAAATATAAAATTATCCACGAAGATACAGCGGACAAACTTTACAATTTGATAAATAGCTCGGTAAAGGAAAAATTGGACAATGTATCTTGGTTGTTGGTGCGCCTTAAGGCCGAGCAAAATGTCGTTTGCTCACCTGGCACGGATCTCGAAGAACGTGTGTACATTTCCATATTATAAGTTCTGTATTTATTTTCTCATAGTAATATTAAAATCTCCAAATGCAGATCAAGAAAAACTGAGAACGCAAGAACGGAGCTTATGCAGACAGCTGTCGCACATTATACAGATACTTTGTACATTAGCTAACGTCGCTATTAAACCGGGACCATCCACGGACATCATGTTTAAAAATTTACAAGTCTTGTACAACTTGCTTAGCAATCTTACAAAATATTTCCATGGAAAATCCAGTAAACAAAATGCAGCGTTTCAATCAGTGAAGTAAGAGTCTCTTTCATACTTAATAAATTTTATTTAATAAGTTATATTGATTTTTTCTCTACAAAATACAAATTTTTCATATGATTTCAGATTTATTCAAGTGATTCAGTCAGCTGGGAAACCATTAAAATCTGCGTTTTATAATTTAATAACGCATACTGAGGTATTCATCTAAAATATAATTTAATCTTGTTACATGTAGAAATAATAATATATATTCGCGTGTGTATATAGGAAAATCAAAATGTATCAAAGAAGGCTCATTCAAACACGCAAAAGAACAAGATTTTGAAGGAGACCAAAATTATACCCCGCGTGGTATTTGAAATCGAACAATTTCACAACGAGATTTTATCACTCGATAAAAAAACCGGCGTAAGTATTTATACTGTATATTTAAGAAATTGACATACTATATTTAGAAGAGATAAATTTGAATGAGAAAATAGAAGCAACTGCAATACATACTATGTATGTATTTATTTAGGTTCCACTTGAAACTTACATAAAGCACAGCATAACGCGAGATTTCCGTATAAAAAACACGCAATTGACGGAAGCACTGCAGAAGATGGATATAAGCACGGTAGGAAAAAAAAATACGATAAAGTATTGTTCAAAGTTTGGTATTCCTTAATCTTTATACTCGACATTCTATTTAACAGCTAGATACACAGAACTCTCGTCGCAGCAACGACGCATCTAATTCAGATATAAATGTGTCTGTCGAATCGTCTACAGAAACATCATCTTCAAAACGACCTAGGAAAAGCGACACGTCCTTAAAATCGCCTACAATATCCCCGCCTTCAAAACGTTCTAGAAGATCGTCAGAATCTTAAAACCACAAGTGCCTTATCTGAGATGCCTCGTACATCTTTGACCCTCATTTTGATACAAAGTTTAATTTTACATTCTACATTAATAATAAGTAATAATTATTTTTTTTTTTTTTATAAAAGTCTAGTTACATCATGGGTCATATATAAAGAAGAACACGTTTATGAAGTATAAATATTCTATTACAATGTTGAATTAAAGTATAATAAACTAAAATACAATAACTTGCGTCATCTCATCAATTATAGGATTAGTAATCCTCTAGTTTATATATTTTCATTTTATTTGTGATCCCATTCTACTTAACATTCTTGACTCAGTGAACTATATGATTGTACTTTTTACTGTCCGCATACTTTGACTGCCAAGCTGCTTTCGGCACACATTAAATTAATAAATCTAATATATTGTTTTAATATTTTACTGCTTTTCTTAATGTCTTAATAAAATTCACATTATTTTTTAAATGTCGAATATTTATCGTACAGTTTTTCTTAATCGGGTAAAAATGAGACCGTTACTCACAAATGGATGGTCTTTGCGGAAATTATTACGCGCGCGTCACTTACAATTTAGATATGGGTAACATGGCACTCTCTTAAAGTGTTATAAGCGGCGTCTATACAATGAGAATTTAAGGCGCAAGATTTAAGCTTTAATTTGTGACGTCACTTCCGTTCTTAAGGCTTTCAAGTCCTTACTTTAGCTCTAATCTCAAATTCTCAAACAATAAGGCGAAATTTTATTTTTGAACGGTTAAAAACTTACTGCTTACAATCGATTGCGTAATGTGAAATTAGAAGCGGATATACGCAAATGTCAAAATATTAACGGTTACACTATGGAACCAAACGCGGATATTCAGGATATTGATATCATTGATAATAAGTAACAAGTTTTTTTTTGTTTTTTTTTTTTAATAAAAGTCTAGTTACATCATGGGTCATATATAAAGAAGAACACGTTTATTAAGTATAAATATTCTATTACAATGTTGAATTAAAGTATAATAAACTAAAATACAATAACTCGCGTCATATCTCATCAATTATAGGATTAGTAATCCTTTAGTTTATATATTTTCATTTTATTTGCGATCCCATTCTATTTAACATTCCTGACTCAGTGAACTATATACCATGCTGGAATGTGAATTTCCACGTTAGAGTCCGGGACACAAGAAGATAAAGACGAGTAGTTTCTAGAGTAAAGTTCAAATTCCAGTATAGGATATAGTTCACTGGCCTGAAACGACTTAAAATTGTACTAGAGACGAATTATGCGACAAAGTCCAGAGGCCTGTTGAACCCACCCTTTCTGTTCATGTATTGCCTGTATTTTCTTTTCAAAATGACATGAACCGCACCTACGTCGTTTCCCTCTACCTTCTTGCCTTTAGTGGTGTCAAAGTCACAGAATCCCATTATTCTCATCATCTCTTGCTCCTCGGGTGTTTTGCCTTGAAGATCCGCCTCTGTAATACAAAAGTACAGTTGATTTTTTTCTAATCGTTACATCACTTTCTTTCAATGGTGTATTAATCTTTTAAATGCACAAAGACACAAAGCTTTTTTTTTAAATAAATATATTAGAGGAGCATCTGGATACCTGTGATAATGGGTCGTTCGTTTGCTGAAGGTTTCGGCTTTGTCCTATTCGGTCTGTCGCGCGACCTATCGCGTTCACGCGATCTGGATCTGCTGTATGATCTCCTATGTCTGTCTCGTTCGCGTTCTCGCTCCCTATCCCTGTCCCTTGACTTTACCCTGTCTCGCTCTACGGATCTATTAACATTTAGAAAGCTCAATGTTTACGAATGTCGACGGTGAACCTAAAGGAAATCTTTTTCAGATGTACATACCTCCGTCTTCTCTCTCGCGACCGTCTTCTCCGTCGATCTCTGTCGCGATCTCGTTCTCGGGACCGATCTCTCCGTCTTGCTGGCGATGGAGTGCGGCTTCGACCCATTCTATAGGTGTTCAAATTCACATGTATTTTTAACGCTTCACTGAAATTAATTTAGAGATGTAAAGATTAAGAAGATCGTATAATAACATCGTACAAGGGTTGGAGAACAACCAAGACCTTGAAATATTGATTTTAACTAAAAGGATGCTCTCTGTTGTGCGCATAAAAAAGCTATAATTTTTAAATAAATTAATACGAAAATTATGCTCGTGAGCGGTTGATACACTTACAGGGATTTTTATTTTCGTTTAATTTAACAAAAAACAAAGTAAGAAATGAACATTTCTTTCTCGCATTAATTTCTAAATAACATTTTCGCGCACTGTACAGGTTATGTTCTTCAGGTGTTTTCAGGACTTCAGGTACTCACGCGCCACTGCGGGTGCACCGGTGCAAGTGAAGCTATCGAGAATATCGAGATGTATCGAATCGAATCGAATCGCGCGAGGCGATACGATCGAGAGACCAAGTTTGAAGAATTTTCGGTGTTGTCAGTTGTCATTATTACTTGTCATTGAACGGTTTGACGGTCACGGTGCTTCTTCTTCTTATATTTGTGTTGGCTCCTGCCTCTAATATGAGGTCAATATGGCCAGCATTTGCCCCTGTTTGCTTAGGCAACGAGCGGTGCGCTATTTTGTATTTGAGTGTTGTCTCTGCCACTTGAGTCGGAGACGGTCACGGTGCGTCTTATAACCGCTGCTTCTTTCTTGACGTAGTTTAAAATATCAGGCCCTACCATTAGTACCACTTACCACTTCTCGATCAAGATGCCAGGAAAAGGCTGTATGTGCAAATCAGGCGACTGCAGCCGATGCAGTTGCACTAAAAAGCAACAACAATGCACTGATTCGTGCAAATGCAAAAAAACTATTTGTAATAACTATGTAAGTATAAATATTTAATTAATTTATTATGTACAATAAATATGTATAATAATTAATGTGTTTTAGGGCCGATATCACAGTCTTCGATTAACGTGATCCTCCGATTAAACTCATTCTGCATCTCTTATTTCTAACTGTCCCCCTAGAAAGAGATGAAGAGTGAGTTTAATCGGAAGATCGCACGTTAATCGGAGACTGTGATATCGGCTCTTATCTCAGGAAAAAATTTATGTCGATCGTTTGGCCCATACAAAGTGACAAACTATCGATTGACCAACAAAAACATAAAGACTTATAAAAATATAAATTAACTATTTATTTATACGTATATGTATATGTTTTAGGAGAATCCCAATAATCGCATCGAGGTGCATCAAGACGTTGATTTACTAAAGGCAGAAATAGTTGCCATTCGAAAAGATCTAGACGAATTAAAAAAAAAGAGTACAATTATTGGAGGAATCACTTACAAATTCGCGTGCCAATGACATTCAAGAAAAACAAGAAAATTTAGAATTAGAAAGCCAAAAACATAAGGTGGATGAAAAATGCAGGGAGCTGCGTAAGGTCGTGCAAGAATTATTAGAGGGCATAAGAGATGTTTTGTCCAGTGCGTCCACGAAAGCCGAAAGAAACTGATTCGAGCAGATGAAAGCGTAAGTAAATGTGTTTTGCAATTATTAGAGAAAATTTATCTAATTATTAAAATAAGAACATAGGATTACTTTTTCAACTGTATTTTACAATTTCTGCAAAACACAAGTTGGTTTTCTTATATGTATTTTACATATTGTATATCTCATAAATTTGTGTATCTAAATGAAAATATTGTTTGTTACAGGTTGTGTGATATAAACTTCATTGGCGATTGTACTATTGAAGTAGGTAAATCGGATGGATCAATATTGCAAGACTTGAAGTATTAAACAAAAAAGCGAACGATTTGAATCTGAGAGTAGTGTCAAATTAGATTGTTTAATATGTTTTATTTTTACATGATCAACATTTCTTTTACAATTACAAATGTAATTTAAAATAATTTAAGGAAGATGTATTCTCTCGTGAATTATATTATTATATGGTGACAAAGCCACAATAAAATGATAATAAAATTAGGTTGATAGGTTGAATACAAAGAGTAAAATAAATAATATTTATCTTTAAAGACAAGTTTATGAGAGTGATAAATATAAGAACTAATAACCGTTTTATCATAACACAATAACATTTCTATTATTCTCAAGTAAAAATTTTAAGAACAAAATATAATATATTTCATGTTCTGCCAAATTGATGTACTAGCACATAAATTGTATATATATGTAAATAACTTTTTAAAAAATTTTTCTTAATTTATATTGTTATCAGGCCTATTCATTCGATCATTTAAACAAATACTTTTGTATATTTGTATGAAAATAAAAACTGAAGTTTTGAAAATAGAAAATACTAACATTTTATATCTCTTTAACAATATTTAACTTTCAAACGTGTATATACATGAAATAAAGACATGATATCAATTTAGAAATTTTGTTTGAAATTTAAATTCTCAGAAGCCTTTAAATTTTATAATCTTGATCTTTTATCTTTGAACACTTTGAACTAGATTGTACGTTTGCAGTCTTATGACATGAGAAGGAAAATTTTTATAGGCAATTAATAGTTCGAATTTTGCTCACAATTTCATATTAACGTTCCGGTTATTAAAGAATTAATAATTTTATTATACATTGTTATTATAAAGCAATTCTTTACATATCTCAGAAATAAAGAAGAGGAAAAAATGGCATTTTTTGATATATTTATTTAAATAATTTCATGCGAGACGCCATTTTGTTACAAAATAGCCTCAGTGGCCAGACTCTGGCCGCTTATCTTAAACCTTTGTCTTCTCGAATGTTTGACGTATGTCGTCGTTGTTTCAACACTCTTTTCAATTTTCAAAAATTATATATACTTATAGTTGAACGACAAATTAAAATTTTGCTAAGATAAAATCTGAGTAATTGGGAAATATTACTTTGTTATTCGTTTTCTCTTCTAATGCTCA